TTTGTCAGTTTGCATTTTTATAAAGGCTCTTTGTTTCTACTCTGTAGCTACCTGGGGCCATTTGGGCATTAGCGTTGTAAGCTTCTTAGATTTCCTGTTAAGCAGGGTTGGCAAATGTGCTGCATGCTCTGTGTCCAGGTGCACCATCCCTTCAGGAAATTACCTCCAAAATATGTTGTTACATCAAACTAAATATCCCACTTATGTTCATACAAGATGACACTTTATTATTTTCTGCATCTCTGTTTCAAGGTTAGGCATTTTTGCAGGCTTCATCCTGATGTTCTCTATTGTTTTCTGCACTGAGAACTATGTCTATACCCTGGAAGTGTGCTGCTCAGGGACAAAAACAGCTGATCAGGAAACATGGTGGCAAAATATCGTCAGTGTCACAGTGAAAGAGAAATAAAGTTATAGCAGGATCTTTTCACTTATGTGCTGATTAATTTCACCTTGTATGTCATTGTACATAAAAGATCAAACAATCACCCACTTTGTGCATTGCACAAATAGCAAACAACCTAAATCATAATGCTTCCCCCACCATGCATGATGTTTGGATGAATAGTCTCACCTTGACTCCTTTAAAAATTCATTTCATAAAAAAAAAAAAAAAATGATGAGTCTTCATCCCATGTGACCATGAAAACTTTTCTCCAGAGGGCATTTAGCCTGTCCGTTTTGGCTATTTGTTTTGGTGGAGACCCTTTCTCAGTTGCACACTCTCCGTTCACTCAGTCATTGATAAAGGGGGCTCACATTAAGCTTCTGGAATGGACTCCCTGGAACCTAGATCTCAACAGTGTTGAAAATGTGTGGACTATTATAAAAGCTCACTTGTTTCAATGAACTTTTCCAATTCTGCTAAGCAGATTGGTCCAACATTAAGCCAGAATTAGGCCAGGATGTTTGTGAATGCTACAAAAGTGAGTTATTTCTCTACTGGTTGCTAAACAAAGTTTGGTCACATATTAGTCATGATGTATGTATATACACTGCTCAAATAAATAAAGGGAACACTCAAATAACACATCCTAGATCTGAATGAATGAAATATTGTCATTGAATACTTCGTTCTGTACAAAGTTGAATGTGCTGACAACAAAATCACACAAAAATCGTCAATGGAAATCAAATTTATTAACCAATGGAGGCCTGGATTTGGAGTCACACACAAAATTAAAGTGGAAAAACACACTACAGGCTGATCCAACTTTGATGTAATGTCCTTAAAACAAGTCAAAATGAGGCTCAGTATTGTGTGTGGCCTCCACGTGCCTGTATGGCCTCCCTATAACGCCTGTTCATGCTCCTGATGAGACAGCGGAAGGTCTCCTGAGGGATCTCCTCCCAGACCTGGACTAAAGCATCCGCCAACTCCTGGACAGTCTGTGGTGCAACGTGACGTTGGTGGATAGAGCGAGACATGATGTCTCAGATGTGCTCAATCGGATTCAGGTCTGGTGACTGGACGGGTCAGTCCATAGCTTCAATGTCTTCATCTTGCAGGAACTGCTGACACACTGCAGCCACATGAGGTCTAGCATTGTCCTGCATTAGGAGGAACCCAGGACCAACCGCACCAGCATATGGTCTCACAAGGGGTCTGAGGATCTCATCTCGGTACCTAATGGCAGTCAGGCTACCTCTGGTGAGCACATGGAGGGCCATGCGGCCCTCCAAAGAAATCCCACCCCACACCATTACTGACCCACTGCCAAACCGGTCATGCAGAAGGATGTTGCAGGCAGCAGATCACTCTCCACGGTGTCTCCAGACTCTGTCACGTCTGTCACATGTGCTCAGTGTGAACCTGCTTTCATCTGTGAAGAGCACAGGGCCCAGGGGTGAATTTGCCAATCCTGTTGTTCTCTGGTAAATGCCAAGCGTCCTGCACGGTGTTGGGCTGTGAGCACAACCCCCATTTGTGGACGTCGGGCCCTCATACCATCCTCATGGAGTCGGTTTCTAACCATTTGTGCAGACACATGCACATTTGTGGCCTGCTGGAGGTCATTTTGCAGGGCTCTGGCAGTGCTCCTCCTGTTTCCTCCTTGCACAAATGCGGACTCTACGCTGACAGACACAACAAACCTTCTTACCACAGCTCCCATTGATGTGCCATCCCGGATGAGCTGCACTACCTGAGCCACTTGTGTGGGTTGTAGAGTCCGTCTCATGCTACCACGAGTGTGAAAGCACCACCAACATTCAAAAGTGACCAAAACATCATCCAGAAAGCACAGGTACTGAGAAGTGGTCTGTGGTCCCCACCTGCAGAACCACTCCTTTATTGCGTGTGTCTCGCTAATCGCCAAAGATTTCCCCCTGTTGTCTATTCCATTTGCACAACATCAGGTGAAATTGATTGTCAATCAGTGTTGCTTCCTAAGTGGACAGTTTGATTTCACAGAAGTTTGATTTACTTGGAGTTATATTGTCTTGTTTAAGTGTTCCCTTTATTTTTTTGAGCAGTGTATTTGAGCCATTATGTAAATTTCTGATCCTATTTGGATTGTAGAAAATATGCAAAAATCTAGTTGCATCCAGTTCTTGCTTTGAAAATCCCTGAAGTTGTATGTTGAAAAAAAAAACAACACCCCAAATGCATCATTAAAAGACCCAAACTCATGACATTCATGCAAACATGCGTGCAAAAGGAATGCACTCAGACTTTCGATCAGAACTCCATGAAACTAACTTCCCATCTATCTTCAGGTAATATTTGCAATCTTGATTTCATGGAACATGAAACAAATGGAAGTAGTATCTACAAATTTTCTCATTAATGATACTCAGTTGTATTTTATATGAGGTTCCAATCCATTCCCCATATTTTGGGTGCATGCAAGTTACATGTTTGTTGGAAAGGTATGATGTTCCACTTATTGGCAACAGGGATTTCTAATTCTTCAGCTAAAGTCTTGGCAAGCAATACTGTAATTATTCAGACACCATTTACACGTTTGTTATTGTGTGGTCCAACGCAATACACTACTTTCATTCTCATCCACAGTATGTCAAATAAGTAAACACTTTGTTCCAAACAAAGCACCTTGCCCTGGACAGGCGCTCTCATTCAGGGTCACTGCAGATGTTCCAGTCACATGGGTTCAGACTTGGATCATGTCAGGGCCAACACAATGTGTACCAGGGCCTGTTTGGTTCTCAGTGTCTCCTGTAAAGATATTATCATCTGGCTTGTTGACCAAAAGTTATCTAATCCCCTCTTCTATTGTGTCTTTTCAATCGTGGCCTTGTCTGTGTGTCTCTGTCTGTTATTCAGTTGAGCCTTATTTAAGCCTGAAGCCAAGCTATTCATGACTTTGTCTAAGGGTGAAGGGGCAGATTTATTATCTCTGAAGCAAACAAGAATCCTTGTGTAAAACCATTTATATTGTGATTATTTTCTTATATTTTCTGTTTTCAAACTGGAGCATCTAATGCTTTCATTATTTTTTGTCTGAAATGCAAATTCAATCAAATGTCTGCCTTTTTTGGATAACAAATGAAAAGGAAATTGCTGCAACCCTCTTCAGTCCTGAGATCGCTTTCTAGGTCGGTGTCTAAGTGCAGTAGAGCAGCAAAATTATCTGGAGCAGATTTATAGTGTCAGAGAGAAGAACAGATGGATGCTGGCTCCGCCTCATCATTGACACTTTGCACACAGCACTAACAATAGGAGAGCTGCAGGTCCTTTTTGCCCTAGCAGTGACAGTATTTCTGTTTGTAGCAACTAACCTGTTAAACCAGCAACACAGATGCTTCTTGCACGAACTTGGCCTATAAAATTTCATTTCATTTCTCAAGGACAGAACGACATCCAATAAAAAGCTATGAAAAGATTAATTAAGCTGTTTTCTATGATTGGCATCAATATCTGCTTTATACAGAGCCTGTAAATTTTTTCCCATTTTGTCATAATAGATCCACATGCTTCAATGTATTGTACTGGGATTTTCAGTGATAGACCAGCATAAAAATACCTGATTTAATTTTTTTTTTACATGCATTTATATTAAACCCATCTTGAATCAATACATTTTAGAACCACCTTTCACTGCAATTACTGCTGTAAATCATTTGGATTATCCCTCTACCAGTTTTGCATATCAAGATTGAAATTTAAGTCCATTCTTCATTGAAAAATAATAGCCTGATTGAATATACATTCTCAGGTCTTACAGATTCTGAATTGATTTAGGTCTGAACTTTGACTAAGCCACTTTAACATATAGATTATGCTTTGGTGTAAACCACTGCTGTAAAAAATGATTGCATTGCTAATTTCTGATGCACATAATGTCTTGTAGACCAAAAAAGTTTAGTTTTGTGCCATCTGCCCAGAGCATCTCTTCCACATGTTTGATGTGTCCCCTAAATGGTTCGTGGCAAACAGGACTTTGGATGGCTTTCTTTTATAAAGACCAGATTTGTGGAGTGCACAGATAATAGCTCTCCTGTCGTTGGATTCTCCTACCTGAGCTGTGGATCTCTGCAGCTCCTACAGAGTTTGCATTGGCCTATTGTCTGCTTTTCTGATTAAGGTGTACAGGTATGTATTTGTAGGTTTGTTCTTGTGCCATTCTCTTTCCATTTTCAGATAATGGATTAAGCTGTGAGATGTTCAAAACTTGGGATATTGTTTTATTACCTAACCTGCTTTAAACATATTTACAAATGTATCCCTAAGCTGTCTGCTCTGTTTCTTGGTCTTCATGATGCTGTTTGTTCACAGATGTTCTCCAACAAACATATGAGGCCTTCACAGAACAACTGCATTTATACTGAGATAAAATCACACACAGATGGACTCGTCTTATCTGATTACTTCTTTGGTGACTTGTGAAGGTGACTGGTTGCACTTGATTTCATTAAGGGGTGTCAGGGTAAAAGGGGAGCAAATACAAATACACTTCTAAGATTTATTTTTGGACTAGTGGCCTTAATTGCACAGCAATTAGACAGGAAAGAGGGTGGAGAGAGAAGGGGAAGACATGTAGCGAGACCAGGAATTAAACCCAGGACAACCACATCGAGGACTACAGCCTCTGCACATGACGCGCTCGCCCTACCAATTGAGCCACCAGCGCCCCATTATTTTTATAACTGAAAAAAAAAGGCCATATATAATATTTCCTCCACCAATTAGGTGCTACATTGTCTTGGTCTGTCATATAAAGTCTTAATTAAATTACAGAGAAGTTTGTGGTTGTAAAGTGACAAAATGTGCATGGGTATGAATGGGTATGAATACTTTTGCAAGTCCATGTATCTACCATTTATTTCTTTCCCTGCTGCATTTCCAGCTGTTGCTGAAGTTATTTTTTTTTTAATAATCTGTGGCATGTTGAGGATCAGGAAATAGGATGAGGGCTCTGAGGGAGAGTAGGTGGACTCACTCCTCCTGCTTTTATTTTTGTCTTTTTTCTGCATTGCAAAAACAGAAGATGGCTGCGGTGTGGGAGGATGCTCTTGGCTGACAAGAGGGATTACCAAAAAAGAACAAGAAAGATTAATGTTTCCTTTTTTTTTGGCTTCAAGAAAGTTAACCATTTCACTGCCCGGCGTCCAATCTTTTGATGGACAGCTAATGAAATCACAGATGGACCCTGGAGACAGAGAATGAGGCCAATTCAAGATAGCAGCCCAAATCCCATAACACTGACACTTCACAGCCGTTTTCTTATAACACATCCCAAACTGCTCATTCAAAGCAGTGTATTAAAAATGCTACTGTATCAGTTATATTTGAAGCACCTCATGGTCAAGATATATGATCTGCAGAAATAGCTGGGTATTTAAACGAGAGAACTGCGTTCACTGATCACTATAGTTTATCATATTAGTACCTCCACATCTGTAATCAGCACTTGTCTCTGCTTCATACCCCCAACCTCTTTAAGTTGCTTCTACATTTGTTTAGTAGCTTTCTCTTTAGTTGGCAGGCTCCAACTTTCTTTGCTTACCCACCAGCACCATCTGGAGGTATCTTTGATGCACCGCCTCAGAGATTCACTCCACCCATCCTCACAAAGACAACAGTTTATACAGATAAATACACAGACAAAGCCAGAACAAATTCTGATAAATCGTTGAATGGTAAAACTGAATTTTAGGTTTTAGGATCGACTCTGACAATTACAGACAATCGTTTTTTATTGAAAGAGTATCTCTTTCCATCTTGAAAGAAATAATACAAATTTAACATTATATTCTCAATGTATTTATTTTAAAAAGTCAGTGTTGAACCTCAACAGGATGTGAGTTGGCCCTCATTGTGTTCACTGTGATGATGGGGAAAATGGTTTGCTATTATATACTTGCTTCAGTTACTTTTAATTTTTGGGTTGTTTTCCAGTGATAGTCGCAGGTTCAATTAAATAATGGATAAAACAATGGAGATGAAACACCAGGGGGCAGCAGAGATTTTTCCCTGTAGCCATGTAGCATCTGCATTGGAAACACCTGAGTCCAACTGGACACAACTACAATTAACTTACATAGCGTACATAGGCAAGGCAAGTTTATTTGTATAGCACATTACAGTAACAAGACAATTCAAAGTGCTTTACAAGAATAAAACTTAAAAAAAAAAACAGAAAAAAATACCTTGCTCAGAATAACACACAATCATGTAAATCCAAGCCTCTTGTCTTGACAACCCTCATCACCTTCCCTTTACCCTACAAGTGATGTGCAGAAAAAAACTACATTTGCAGTTTATTTCAATGTCTCAGTCTGTAGTGCTGCTAAGATTTTCACAGCAGGGTCAAGCTGACCAATCAACAGTGCAATATGGCTTTAATGCGATATGACGTTGCAAGATGAAAAGTAGGAATATTTTATGTCAAGCTAAGAAAAACTGCACAAAACTGCAAAAACTGAATAAAATGGAAAAATTTTATTTTTGTGAAGAGACAACCAGCCACACTAATGTTAGTAAACTTTTTAAAGAAAATATTACCTTTACTGTTCTAAAATTTATTTGAATGTCAGTTGTACAAGAGATATATATTGCAGAATTGCTGTTACTTTGAGCTCACAATTTATTATCGCATAAAATAAATGATCACTTATAGTATAATAATAATAATAATAATAGTGTTGCGAGTGACCAAACTTGAGGTACTGCATTAAGATGTAGTAAACAGAGGGTCATTCTGGCTCTTTATGGATGTGACTTTCAGGTCCTGTTGTGTCTGTTGTGTCTGTTGTGTGAAGACAGCAATACTTCAGGGGTCTTACATGAGAGAGATCCTCTCTAATCTTCCCCTCCTGTAAAAGTCAAGGTTCATAAGGAGGATGTAATTGTCTTCTCTAATGACTTGCACTTGGAGGGGGTGGGACACGGAACAAAGGGGACACAATAAAGGATTTTAGGGGCCCTCCTGTAGGAATACTTTGCTTTAAATTGCTGAGCAAATGAAACTGCCCGTTGTTTCCTCAGCTTGGATCGGTGCTCTGCCAGACAGAGGTGAGGCAGGACCAAAGAGGACACAGTCAAGAACACCTGCTGGGGCCTAACTGGCCCCTGCTACAGTTAATGGCTTCCTGTGGCTGTGTGTTTACTTCTCATTTGTTCTGTGAGCTCTGTTTCCCAGCCCCTGAAACAAGAGAGGCTCACTTTAAATCTTTATTCCCACAACTTTCTTTCTCTGTCATTCTCGGACTGTCTCTCTAGTGCCGTCTTCTGTCTCTGCTCTCAAATAAAAGACATTGGCCTTCTTAAAACTGCAGCTCTGTGACTCATGTCCTAACCACATGCTATCTGCTACACTTTGCCACAGGAGGTAATTAATTTAAACCTGTCACACCTGTCAATCACTTTCACTTCTGTCTTATCAGTCCACAGAATATTTTCCCAAAAGATGTTTTTGTTTTTTTACCATATATGAGACAGGCCTTTGCGTTGTTTTGGTTAGCAGTGTTTTTTGGTTTTGAACTCTTCCATGGATGCCATCTTCGCCCAGTGTTGTTGAATGATGAACACTGACCTTAACGGAGACAAGTGACACCTGCAGTGGCTTAGTTGTTGTACTGGGTTCTTTTCTGGATGAGTTGTTGAATTATTTAGGTAATATCTGAGCCACTCCTGGGAAGGTTCACCTCTGTTCCATGTTTTTTTTCCATTTGTAAATAATGACTCTCAAAGTAAATAACTGGAGTCCAAAAGCCTGGCTTTGTTTTTAATGTGTTCTTGAATTTCTTTATATCAAGGCATGTTGTGTTGCTTTTTTAGATCTTTTAGCCTACTTCATGTTGTCAGACTGGTCATATTTAAGATAATTCTTGATTCTTTAGGTCTGAGTGTTGCTAGTAGAATTGCACCCAGCTATACAAAATGTGGTTAATCAGAGTTAATCTGTGATTTAACAGGAGGCGATGATTACTTTTCACATGGGACCAGGTTTAGATAGCATTTGCCCTTCAAAAAACAATCATTTGAAAATGCTTTTTATATTTACTCAGATTATCTTTGTCTGATATTTAAATTTGTTTGATTTGAACATGCATGTGATACAAAAAAGCAAAAACAAGGATTTATAAAGGGGTAAATGCTGTTGTCACAACACTGCATGCTGCATTTAAACCTAGAGGGTATACAAGGAATCCTGGTGGAATTGACATGATTGATGGTAGCTAAAAGGGCCTCAAATTCAAATTCATCCTTGGAATTGTTCTAAGAAACTTGATCTTTGTTAATCATTGTATCTTTACAAACAATAATTGCCAGGGTCATACTGTATTTTCTTCAATGTCATTGCTTTTCATTGTCATTCATCTTTTGCTCCCAGTTAGCCTTGATGTCATCTATTTATAAGTTGTAAATTTGTAAAAGTAGACCGCTCTCTTTTTTTGTTAATAATGTGAAGTGTTCAATATGAATTTTTTATGAGCTGTGGACCTGAATGTCAGATTTAGGACAAGAAAAGTAAAGGCAAAAACAGAAGAGCTGATCTGGCAACTTCTCGGTGTGAAATCCCATCGGCCCACAGACAAACATGACGAGACGGCAGCCCCTCCTGCCTCTACCGCCTGGCTGTACCATAAGCACATTCCCCACGTCCATGAGAAATACCAAAAATAAAAGCAATTAAAGATGAAGTCAAATGGAGAGTTTGCAGATCCCCTGGTTACGTTTTTAAATAACAAGCTAATTTATCCAACCTGCCTGGGTTTTATTTGCTCAATACTAGCTGGGAAGATTTATAGGACACTTGGTGCAGTAATTTGCTATCTTCATTGCCATCTGGTCATAATCATTTTAATGTGTTGAATTTCACAACTGTGCATTAAAGGTCTGCAAAATTAGACTGACTAGAACACACCATCTTTATTAGTTTTGCACTAACTTCAATGACAGGAAAATTTAAGACTGAGACTAGCTGTCTTTGAAAGTAGTTTTCCATACCAAAACTACTACATTTTTACATTAGTGTTAGCATTAGTATTGATCATGTCCCCATCTACGCTTTTCCACCTGTGTCGTCTGCAGCTTATGAGGTTTGTAGAGATCTGCTACCTGCTGCACTGTCTTGTGAGCAAACGCGGCCTCGCTAAAGAGTCCTCCCTGAAGTAAGTTTGCACCCAGCAGACAAAGTGTGTTGTCACCCCAGTGTGCTGTGTTATTGGGTGCGAGCTGAAGAGTACTATGGCTGCTCTTGAGAAGTAGCACACCATTGAAAATATCTTAACAACACAATAAATGGTGTGTGCAGGTGACACACATCATAGAAAGAAGGTTAGTCAGGCTGCCACAAACTGGGAAGGCCTTAAACCCCTAACTAATGGTAAATAGTTAGAAATGTTTCAAGGGACATACTGCATGTTAAGCGCTAATTACAAGTTATACAGTGCTGTGAAAAGTGTTTGCTCACTTCCAGATTTCTTCTGTTTTACTTTTTTGTCAGATTGAAATGTTTCAGATCATCAAATATATTTTTACATCAAAGATTACCTGAGTAAATACAAAAGGCAGTTTTCAAACCCATCCAAACCAACCTGGCACTGAGTAAGCAAACTTAAATAGACCTGTCTGACAAAATGAAGCAAGTTAAAAAAAATCTAAACAAGAAACACACCATAGCCCC